ATCATAACCACTCAAGACCATCTTGTTTATTGAAAGCACTTTATTACTGTTGTTATTGTTATTGTTATGATTTTACTGTTTTATTGGATTTTATGCATGGGCTTTCGCCCCTTGTAAGCCGCCCTGAGCCCGCTTGCGGGGAGGGTGGGGTAAAAATGTCTAAATATATAAATAAATTAAATAAATAAAAATAAATAGTTGGGAAGCAGGATTTTTGCTCACAAGACTCCACAGCTTAGAGGGAGCAATAGAGGGTGCCCAACTGTAGAAATGACCCCACAGAGACCTGTGTGCTACATTTTCTGGCCCACATTGTGTGACCTTGGACACCAGGTATTGTGTAACATAAGGTATGTGAGACTTTACTTCTACATTTATGCCTTTCTATTGTTGTTGTTCAGTCGCCCAGTCAAGTCTGACTCTTCGTGACCCCATGGACCAGATCATGCCAGGCCTTCCTGTCTTCCGCCATCCTCTGAAGTTTGCTCAATTTCATGTTCGTTACATCGGTGACACTGTCTAACCATCTCATCCTTTGCTGTCCCCTTCTTCTTTGACCTTCAATCTTTCCCAGCATCAGGGTCTTTTCCAGTGAGTGCTCCCTTCTCATTTGGTGACCTTTCTATTACATACTCCTAATATGTACTTAACCTGCTTCCAGCCTATGCATTCGCTACACATCACATCTTTCTAGAACTCGTATTGCTTTCACAACGAGCTTTACTGCTAGTATTATTATAAAGGCCATGAGTACACCCACAGTCGACTTCCTACAGGTCAAGATTAAAACATTCCTGTGTTTCCTTTTCCAAACTGAAGCTCTGTTCAATTCCATTAGTTTGTCTGCTTGGGATACCACCAACAGATTGGCTGCAATTATGTCCCTATAAGTGCTGCATCCTACTACTTTGACTCTTCCCCCTCCAGATCTGTCAATACCATTACCTACTTTTGCTGTCTGCAGTGCTAGCTCTTGGCATATCAGAGATGAGCATGTCTCAGCCACATGGGGAACTACTTTAAGTCCTGGATTCAATTAGCCCAGTTTGGAATCAGCATGCCTGCCAGCATCATTTGAAAGCTTTCACCCACAAACAACATCCAGTGGACACAGGATTTTGAAATAGGCAAACAGAGGTGTCAGGGATAGAATTACACACTGGAACTCATTATGATAGTACCATGGTCAAAGACAGCTATTTATCATGTAGCAGCTGACAAAATGCAGCATACAAAGTATAAGCAGGATATGATCCGCTAGATGTGATTTTAAATCTGGGCTGCCAACAGCCACAAGAAAAATAGTTTTGGGGAGGAGACAGGTAATAACCAGCTTCTATAAGGCTTTTCCTGATGTTAATCAGAAAATTGGAAAACTGATTCACTATGCCATGGAAAGAGGCTGCTTCTTAACATGTACCTGACATGTAAGAAGTGTGTCTACATGAGCAAAACTGTTTTAACATTTAAAATGCACATGGACATAAGTGGGGAAAGACTGAGCATCCATCTATGCTTGTAAGTCTGATAAAAGTGAAAAGTAACATTTCCCATCTTTCAGAGCATGAATACATCCTTGTTAGCTGAGTATCAATGCCCCAGCATGTAGGAAGCAATCTGGATATGCAAGCCATATGAGGAAAGGTTTTATAAAATGCAGCAAAAGGAACAGAGACCCCAGAATTACTAGCAATTGTTGCTAAGTAATTGCAGGTCCAGTTCTAAAGGCAGAGAGCACATTACATTGCTTGCTAGTTGAATTTTAGATGAGGTCAGAGATTTCAGTAACATTTTTAAAAATCTCATCAATATAGACTGTTAGGTGTTCAGCATGTAAAAAAAACCCTACACACATCAACAGTTCTGCCCATTTTAGTTTTTATATGCATGTTCCTGAGTTTAATCCATAAATCTGTCTATATTGTCACAACTTGAATATATATGTATCTGAAACTGAACTGAAACCACAAGCAATGTGATATGTATTGAGAGAGCAGTATTATGACAGGCATCACTAACATTTTAAACTGGGAATAATTGGGGAGGGGGAGTTTTTCAGACATGGAAAGACAGTTTTCACCAGTCATAAAAGTTGCCTAGAGAACAGCATATTTTATATGGAGCCAGAAAGTAGAACATCTTGGAGGAGCATGCCTTACCAGCCACTGCCTACCTACAGCTAACGGGCAGTATCTTTTGGTCATCTATTACATGCCCTGCTTTAAAATAATACATACCCATCATGTACCTTGTGTGTGAGACAGATGAATCCAGTTCAAGGATAGATATATACTTGTGGGTAGTGACCAATAAACAAGGACACACATGCATAACTTGAGGCAGGAACCAGAGAACGAACTGTCGTGCTCTGTCCACCTCCTAGTCCTTATGACTAGAACAGCTTTCCTACACAGCAATATATCGCTTCTTCAAGTGGAGGAAGATTATCTGGGAACAGGCCAGGCCTATCAGGTTCAACCCTCCCCAGTAATACTATCCAGGGATTCTTCACTTAGCATATTTTCCCTGAGTTTTTAGCCTTGTAAAAGACCTATGCATTCTCTGTAGTGCTAAAGAGATATCTGATCAACTACTGGCTTGTATCTGTTTAATCAGAGGCATCCATGTTTGTTTCTTCCCAGAAGATCAAAGGTGGAACCCAATACTAGCTCCACTCAATTGATTCAAGACTGCCTAGCATTCAACACAGGAAGTAGAATGTGGCTTTGAGAACAAGGCCTGAAACACTTCTTTCTCCCTCCATCCCCTGTCCAACATCCAGAGTACTGAACAGTTCTGGAGAATTAAAAAACTTGCACACTGTTTTGTGTGTGCGTGGGGGGGGGTTCCTAATGAAAGGGTATTATACAGTTTTTGTTTGAACTATTTGATCATTTTGGTTAATCTTCTAATTTATTTATTTATTATCAAATTTATACCCCGCCCTCCCCGCAAAGTGGGCTCAATAAATTGATACTGAGATGTGTAATGGTCACTTCAGACGCAATGGTATGCTTTGCCCAACACATGCCTGAATCTGCCTGATCCCATGGCTAAAACAGCTGATCCAGGTATCCTCCACAGTTTAGAGAGGCAGACTGCTTTACAAACTTTCAGAAGTCATTAAAGTCCCACTTAAGTAATCAAGACTCCTGCAGTTGTTACAGAGGTTGTCAACTCTGGATCACTGCCAGTTACAAATAAATAGAGGTGAGGAAAAAGCCTCTGATTGCCCAATAAAACACATCAAATGGTAGCCTGCGATAATCATGCCAACGAAGCCCCAGAAGGAGGTCAAGTTCTTAGTATCACATGAAATTTCTGGCTCACAAAATCATACACCTCTCAGGTACATATGCACAAGAAATCCACAAATTCAAAAAGCTTCAAGTATCCGCTGCCAAGGATGTTCTGATTTTACAAAGTCTCTTTTGGCAAGCTTGTTAGGTCCCCTTGTGCTCTCCCTTCCTTCTCTTGCATTAGCACACAGCTCCCTGAATAAAAAATCCAGCTTATAATAGAAAGAGGACAATAAAACATTTTGCTTTACTTAGTGACTTGGCTTTTACACTGCATTTGATAACATGCAGAGAGGCAGTTTTCTGCTCCAGAATACAAACGGCAAATACAGAGAAATAACAAAACTCTGTCATCATAGCCATTATAGAAGCAAAGCAGTTTCTAGGAACCAAGGATGACACAGTCCCAAAATAGAAATTTCAAAATACAGAAACAAAGTTTATTCTAAATGGCCAGGGTATATCTCTTAGCACGCCACTAATTAATAGAGGTTAATGGGAGCATTATTTACAGGGTTCACACTGGGATACGCAAGGGATTTGAAGACAGACAGGGGATTCAGCTAATGAAAAACTGGGTAAAGGTTTTTTACCATATCATAAAAGGTAAAGGTTCCCCTGCTTGAAAGCCAGTCGAATCCGACTCTAGGGTTGCGGTGCTCATCTCCGTTTCAAAGCCGAAGAGCCAGCGCTGTCCGAAGACGTTTCCGTGGTCATGTGGCCGGCATGACTAAACACCAAAGCGCACGGAACGCTGTTACCTTCCCACCGAAGTGGTACCTATTTATCTACTTGCAATTTCTTGCTTTTGAACTGCTAGGTTGGCAGGAGCTGGAACTAGAGACCGGAGCTCACTCCGTCATGCGGCACCCGGGTCTCGAACTGCATACACCCAGATAAACGGTGGTTTGAGACAGGAGACAATTGAATGAAAGAGCCACCAAGGAAGCCCAATGGAAAATGCTCCATTCACACGTAGAAGAACAGATAAAATCACAGCCTTCAGAAACACACCTTGTTATTTAAATTCCTCAAAATATGTCCAATGGCCCCTCAGTAGCAAACGCAGATCACTCAGGAACTTGGATCTTCTTTAAGTACACTCACATGAGCACAAGACTCTGGGGTGTATTCTAGGGTACACCTTGGATCATGGGGGGGGGGGGGGGGGGGGGACTGGAAAAGGGCCAGTGGGACCAGAGGCCCTGCTGGAGACTTAAATTCTGGCCGGCAGGCTGCTTTATTTTGGGGGTCCTGAAGGACAGTGGGGGCAAACAGGGGTGCTGCACCAGTGCGGGGAGAAACGGCATTAGGCAGCAAATCACGCCGTGCTCACGAGAACACACCGTGAGGATTTCCACAGCCGACAAAAGCCATTTGGGGAACAAAGAGGGCAGTGAGTTCCCACCAATGGTAGAGAGGGCATGCCGAGGAGGGGGGGGGGAGATCCTGCTAGGCTCTGGAGAGGGGTCGCCTCAGTGGGCAAGACTGCGATGGGCGGCCCAGACCGCCACGAAGGGCAAAGCCACGCAGGGTCTCACTCAGCCCACCCTTCGCACAAGCTCCGCCGGCGACCGGGAGGGCTTGCCTAGGGGCGAGGATGACGCAAAGCGCTGTACTGTAGGCAAGGTCAGCCCCATAGTGGAGGAAGGGGAGCCAGCTGTTACAAGGGAAACGTGGCTCGGGCGAGCGAAAGCGTACCTGCTGGTAGTCCGGGTCCTTCGGCCGGAAGGCGCTGGACACGGGATGCAGGCTGAGGCTCAAGTGGGGGAGCCCGTGCAGCCAGGACGCCCACCAAGGCGCCAGGTAATCGGCACGCGCCGCCGGCAGCATCGCTCCCTCGTCCTCTTCCCGCAGCTGCCGGCGCCCGAACCAGCCGCGCGCTCCCGGCTCTGCCCCGCCACCGCGGCCGCCTCCCCGAGAGCTCTCGCTACGCCCCGCCCCTTCTGTCCTCGGAGCCGCCGGGAGAGGAAGGGCTCGGAGAGCGCGGAGCCTCCCAGGCCACGTATCGGTGCCCCCTGCAGGATGCACGAGCGGCGTGCTGATTCTTCTGAATGGGCTGGCTATATCCCTCCCACGAGGTGGGTTTCCATCCGTCATAGCAGCATCCGGGGCATCCGGTCTAAGTCTTTGTTTGTTTGTTTTAGTACTGCCTTCCTTGAGCAATGCTCAGGTACAAAAATTAGTCACCGCACTATCTCCCACTCCAGGGTCTCTGACTTCATGCATTCTCCCTTGCGTGCCCCTTTACATATGAAGCTTTGTACTGAATCGGACATGAGGGTCAGTATTGTCAACTCTGTCTGGCATTGGCTGTCCAGGGTCTCAGATAACTTGGCATATAAGTATGATGGGGGCAGAGTTAAGCATAAGAGATGCTGGATCAGACCCGTGGTCCAGATAATTCACCATTGTTTCACACAGTGCTCAGTTGCTCTGATGGGCCTACAAAGCAGAGCATAGAGTCCACAGCCTTCCCCTGATGTCGCCTCCATAGAGTGGCTGAGTCTGAGCTAAGAAATTCCTGGAGATTTGGGTGTGGAGATGGGGGAGGACAGGGTTTAAGGAAGGGAGGGACCTGAACAGACTACAATGTAATAGAGTCCACCCTCCAAAGCAGCCATTTTATCCAGTTGTAAGAGATCTCCAGGCCCCACCTGAAGGCTGGCAACCCTATGCAGCCTTCTAGCTCTTATAATCAGGGGCTTACTGCCTCCAGATTTGGAGATTCGCCTTGGTCATCATCATGGCTAATGGAAACTGATGGACCTATCCTAATTCACGCTGTTGAAAGGTACTGGATCATTTTAGCTGGAGATTCCAAGAGTTCAACCTGGGACCTTCTGCATGTAAGGCAGATGCTATACCACTGGAACTTGCTCTGGGAAAATGTGGGTGTTGCTACTTTTGTCTTTTCCTTCATCCTCTGCCCCAGTCTTTAGGTTAACCCTCATTTCCAACTGTATCCCAAGTTTTAAGAACCTGTAACAGAACCTACCCATGTTAATCTCTTGCTGCTGGGAACCCATGCTTTTCAGTTTCCCCTTCTGTTCCAACCCCACATTGTCTATTTTAGACCAGATCCACACATCATTGGATGTTGCACTATTGTAACCATTCACTTCCTGGATTTTCCTGTCCACACAGGAAAGCCCAGGAGATGAATTATTTGGATAATACAATATCCAACAACATGCAGCTCCTGCTCTGTGAGACCGACAGTATCTGTTTTTTGCAGACTAAGCTGTCTTCTCCCACTGTTTAAAGTTCCCGTCTCCTGCACTAAAGCTCATTGCTGTGCCACTTAAGAAAAATATGGAGGGTACAGCACCATGGCTGTCTCCCTGCAACGTTATTCCATCTCACACATTTAATACAATGTGTGGACCTCTAGTTATGCTCAAGACAGAAATGGAGAAACTGTTGAAAGTTCCAGTGGAAAACTATGGAGCCAACATAAAGCTCTGGTGGGTTTTGTCACTGAGTCAGTTTGAGAAAGAAGGTAGGTCAAAACTTCAACCTTTGCCTCATAAATGGCTTGCTATCATGTCAGGATACCACAGATCCTGGTTCTCTACATACCTTTCTTGTTTCTCTGTTGTTAAGAGGGGGAGGGATCTCCATTTGTTAATCTTTAACTTAATCCTATGCTTGATCCATACTATGGGTCTTATCACAGAACTGCTGATCACCCTTTATTTCTGCACCTAAAGTGTATTCACAACCAGAAGGCATATGGTTGTCAGGTTCAACAGTCAAACAAATGGAGTACAGTCTTCCATGAAGCACATACTTTATTGTCAGTACTACTGATCAGGAACACAAGAACTGTTAGGAATGATTCAAAAGGGAAAGCTTACTGGGATATACAGAGTTCAAACGACGCCACCACCACCCATGGGCCAATCAACTTGATTCCTGCGGGCGGGAAGAAATAAGGGTTATTTGTATTGCATTATAATTGGCAATATTATTTGGGAACTGCTCGTGTACTGATGGGGTACACCTAGGTTTTCTGAACAAGGCAAATGGCAGCTCCTGGGGGCCACTTGAGTTCAGGAAGACAGCACAGGACCATGGGGAGGGGGGAGACTTGTCCCTTATCCTCATGCTCCAAGGTCCTGATCCAAATTGACCCCATCTTTACTTGGGAAGTGAGTTGTCAGAACAGAATTCCAGGTACACATCTAATCAAACAGACCTGGGGAGCACCCAGGGAGAAACATGATGTGTTGCTAGGCTCAAATTAGATAGTGTGTAAGTACAAAGTCCTGCCCTTTAGTCTTGTGCTGAGGGAATTGTAACTAGTTTAGGAGCTGCATGGAATTACAAAGGAACCTTCAAGGAGCCCTGTCTCCAAACTGGGGCAGCCTTCAAAAGAGCAGCATCCACCTTTATCCTTACAGGTAAGGTATCACAAAACGTATGCCACAATAACATATTAGTGGTGGCTGAAATATGAGGTGCCAGGCAGGAATTGCACTGCCTTCATTTCCACATAGTGTGAGTGTGAAAGCATTATTTGAAAGTGCATTCCTGTGAGAAACATAGCTTCCAAAAGAAAGCTCTATAACCTTATTTAAGGCCAGCACTTAAAGAAGCCCCAGTGCCCAGTCTCTGTTTGCCATACCCATTCTGCCTGTTAATCCTGCTAATTGAAGAAGGAGTGTAAAGGTTCAGACTATGGCCAAGTTGCTACTGCTGCCCACTCTTGAGACAGCCACACACCAGCCCTTGGCAGGTAGGAAGGAGCCAGGAGCACACTAGGCTTAAAGAGAGGCAACTCTTCATCAGGCTGCAGTCACACACACTAAATAATCCACTTTCAATCTACTTTCAGTGCACTTTCCACCTGGATTTTGCCAGTTCACACAGTAAAAATCCAGTTGGAAAGTGCACTGAAAGTGGATTATTTAGTGTGTGTGACTGCAGCCATCAGTGAGAAGCAATAGCTTGGGAAGAATGATGCTATCTATTTCCAGAACCCTTTCACATTCAGCACAGATCTGGCCAAAAGTCAGAATGCAAGCGGTTCCCAAATGTCTGCCAGAGCAGGGTGGGTGGGTTGGGAGAACAAGGAAATGACAAGTTAAACCCAGATTCTGTGATGAAGCAAGACTCCTCATCCTGCTCTCTTCAAGGTCCGCTAATCAACAGAAACAACAGATGGAGAAATCACATGAACCCAAGGTAGTCAGGAGCCTTTATCTGAGGAAGGCAGGAGTAGCTAATTCAGCTGCCTTCTGGTCCCTTTCCCTCTGTGCAGCAATTGTTTCTGACACCCAAAGAAGACAAGACAGTTGTAGGAGCGAAAGCAGTGGCTATTCTTCATTCTGTAGGACCTAGGCTTACCTATAGTACTTACCCAATAATTTCAGTTTGGCAGCTTACAGGATTCCCCAGGGAAGTTGGAAATACCTTCAGTGGCATATTATAAACAGATATTTTTATCCATTCAGGGGTGGGTATAAAAAAGGACAGGTCCTTTGGCAAATCAAAGAGAAAACCAATGAATGAAATTAAATCTGATCTCCTGGTCTAGTGGAGCAAACTAAATTCATTTTGTACCATACTGTAACACAAACATGTTCTGGGGGAATGGGGCTATGATTTTTTCTTTTTGTGTTGTTCAGGGGCACAAGCATCCCTTCAGTGCCCCTCTTTTACATGTCTCTTTCCATTACCATCCCAATCACCTCTCAGTTATGGATAAGGCAGTCCTGAGTCCTTAAGAGGGAAAAATGTGAAAATTCAGGGATGACTGTAGCCTTCATGACAATAATTAGATGCATACATTTCCTTAGATCACTCATAAAAAACTTAGGTAATGATGCTGGGCCATAACAATACAAACCAGTTTGGGGTACTGGTTAGGACTCTAATCTGGGAGAACTGGGTTTGATTCCCCACTCCCCCACATGCAGCTGCTGGTGTGACCTTGGGTCAGGTACAAGTAATTTCAGAGCTGTTCTCTCACAAGCAGTTCTCAAAAGAGCTCTCTCAGCCCCACCTACCTCACAGACTGTCTGTTGTGGGGAGGGGAAGGGAAAGGAGGTTTGTAAGCTGCTCTGAGACTCCTTCGGGTAGTGAAGGATGGGGTATAAATCAAATATTCTCTTCCTCCTCCTCCTCCTATTTTTATACTAAGTGAAACATTCCTGTAGACTCTAAAGGACTAACTTATAACCTAAATTGTGCGTGTGTGTGTAAAATGTTTCTGTTAACATTTCATGCAGACTAAGAGTAAAATGGTATTCTCCTATTTTCACCAGTGTTCACCAGTCATGAACTTCAATTTACTTTAAACATATTTCTTGTTAAGAATAGAAGTGGATAGTAACAACTACCCAGTTCAAAACTTTGCCTTTTTACTGATTTCTGGATGTGTAAAAAATTGTAAAAGTTTAACTAAAATTACTTTTTAAAAAGTTTTCAGTACTTTAACCCAGTGTACTTTGCCTGATATCAACTCACGCCTAGTTGTGGCTATTCTAATATTTTAAACAAAGACTTAAGGGGAGGAAGGATTTCTTCACAGCTCTTGGCACATCACATCTCCTCTCCTGCATGTCACTTTTAAGAATGTGTCCCCATTTCTCCTTCTATAGGTTAATTTCTTGTTAATTTCATTTTCCTTGCACATGCCCTGCTTGAAAAACTGTAATTTCACTGGCATTTGAACACTTGTTTGAAAATAAACATCTGAGGAAAGCTCTTGAAAGCCTTAGTTTTGTAGGGA